GGGACACCCTTGGGAGACCCCCGGGGGACCCTTGGGAGACCCCCGGGACACCCCTGGGACACCTTTATGAGACCCCCGGGACACCCGTGAGACTCCCGGGACACCCTTGTGAGTCCCTCGGGACACCCGTGAGACCCCGGGACACCTCTATGAGACACCCGGGACAACCTTGTGAGACCCCCGGGACACCCTTGTGAGACCCCCGGGACACCCGTGAGACCTCCAGGACACCTTTGTGAGACCCCCGGGACACCCATGAGACCCTCGGGATACCCATGAGACCCCCGGGACACCTTTATGAGACCCCTGGGACACCCGTGAGATCCCCAGGACACCCTTGTGAGACCCCCGGGACACCAATGAGACCCCCGGGACACCATTGTGAGACCCTCGGGACACCAATGAGACCCCCGGGACGCCTTTGTGAGACCCCCGGGACACCAATGAGACCCCAGGGACACCATTGTGAGACCCCTGGGACACCACAATGAGACCCCCGGGATACCCTTGTGAGACCCCCGGGACGCCTTTGTGAGATCCCCGGGACACCCATGAGACCCCAGGGACACCCTTGTGAGACCCCTGGGACACCCATGAGACCCCCGGGACACCCGTGAGACCCCCGAGACACCCGAGAGACCCCCGGGAGACTCCCAGGAGACCCCCGGCACACCCCCTGAAGGGCGGGTGCCGCCCCTTCGGGAGCTGCGCCCGCCACGGGCCATCCCCGCCAGAACGCGACAGAGACTGCGACCCCCGCATCCCCCGGGACACCCCCCCGGGACACCCCCCACCCACCCCGGGGCGATGGCAGGACACGGGGGGGATCGTTGGTTTTCCCTCTTTGGAAACGCTCCGGAGCTGGGGAAGCGACTGTCGGTGGGGGCGGCGGGGGATGGAGCGGCCAGCGGGGCACTGCCGTCGCTACATCCCCGTTAAACGCAAAGAAATTGGGGAAAAAACACCCGAAACATCTAAACTGAGAGTGCTCTGGGGGAGACAAATCCGCTGCCGGGACAGGGGTGCGCCGGGTGCCCCCAAATCACGAGCCCAGGCGTGGGGTCCCTCGCATCCCTCCCTCCCCTCTACCCCCCCTCCGCACCGCGGCTTTGCAGCTTCATCTTCCCCTCCTTCCCCTCCTCTCCCTCCTTCTTTTCCTTTGCCAAAGGGACGCGGGGACGGTTTTCGGGTTATAAGAAGCAGCCGAGTTTGGGGCTGAAGCCCTTTGACGCCGTGTGTGGTTTTCTTATTTTTCTTTCCTTTTTTTTTTTTTTTCTTTTAATTTTTTTTTTTGTTTTAATTCCGTGTTTTTCACGGCCACCTCTTTCTTGTATGAAATTATCCCGAATTTAAATTACGTTTCTGTTTTAAGGGAGACACAAACACACACACACACACACACATATATATATGTATATATGGCCAAATGGCTGTTATAAACCACATCTGAGGTGTCTCAGTGGCTGATAACTTTTTACGGGCACGGCAGAGTAAGAAGAGTTATTTTACTGATGCACGCACCTCCTAAAATGTGAAAATACGCAGCGTTTGCTCGGTTGTTTTTTTCGGTGGAGAGGCGGGAAGGATTCTGTATTTAAATTAATGAATACGTTAAGCTGAATTTCAGTCCCTGTTTTGCATCCCGCCTTCATTTGAGCTCCTCGTTGTAAACACGAAACAAACGCCACCGACGCGCGTGGAGAGACGCAGAAAGGGGCAAAAGCACGCGATTTAAAAGAGAATATAGTTTTCTGTGGAAAAAGATAGTTTTCCACAGAAAATGTAGTTTTCTACAACTTCCCAGCGTTATCAACGCCGAGATGAAGGGCGCTAATGGAGATAAACGCGGCAATTTTCTCTGTAGCTACACAGAAACTTTCGCAAGGGAGGTTGAGGAGTTAAATAAGAGAGAAAATACCGTGGTGAGGGTATTTCGATGCAGATCGAGCTATTTATTTTACGCGCCCGTCAGCACTAACTGCACCTGGGTTATTGGGTTGGTTTTGGGGTTTTTGGGGGGTTTCTTTGTTGTTTTTTTTTTTTTAGGTTTTTTTTCGTTCGTTTCTTTAGCCAATTCAATTCATCCTCTTCCTTATAATTTTATTTTTGCCACTCTCACACGTATTTACTGTCCCCTCGCGCAGGTACTCTGGAAAAATAGGAATTAAGGAGTAAAGCAGCTCGCGGGAATATCAGTAACGACGCAGAGCTGATGTCCCTCCTCACACGAGAAGACTTTTTAGCATCCCTAAAGCTCCGACTTGCGCTCCGACCGAGTCTTTTGGAATCCTTTCGAAGCAGGAATCGCGACGGGCGTTAAAACTCCAGCGATTCTCTTCCAGCGCCGCTTAAATTTGCATTTTGACAGCAGTTCATCCCAGCCCAGAACA